AAAAAAACTTATTGTAGAGAAACGTAAATGAAAAGGAACAAAAAAAAGTCAGAAAAGAAAAAAAAATATTTTATTCGGAAGCCTATTTTTGTCACTGGAACGAAGCGAATCGCAATTGATTGTTGGCAGAAAATGCGAAAGAAAAATGTGCACGAGAAGTGAACATTAGCAATTTAAGGCATATTTTCTTTTGGTTCGTTTCTGTTTCGCAAAAGGGAAATAACTCTTAAATATTGAACATTATGAATTATATATTTTTTATATTAAAGCAAATCAATAAAACCGAGAAATATTTCAATAAAATGAAAAATGAAAATCACAGAAGAAATTAAAATCGTGTTTCTTTTTCTTTCTTCTACGTCCCACTCGCTCGAACGCTCATTGATTATGTCGATTCAACCAGTTTTTTATGTTTTTTTTTATTTACTCTTTTGGTTTTGTTATTGAGAAATGATTTTTTTTAATCAAACAAACAAACACAAAAAAATAGTCCTCTATCCTTCTTCATGATTTTTGAAAATTTAATGGAATAAATTAATGTGGTTTTACGGTTCTAACTCATCAACGGCTCGCCATATATTCAACCATATTCTTTGTGGATGAATTTTTTTCCTTTCGTTCGACTTATAAAAAATCTTTTTTGGACCTTTTATCTGGGTTACTTTTGGTTAACCGTAATCAAAATTCGTTTGTTAATTATTAGAATCGTTAGCTTATGAGCACCAATTAGAACCAAGAATAATAATAACTAAAAATTGCATTTGATTTTCTATGAAATTTCGACGGTCATGAGAAGGTTCGTGGATTATTTTACTGCCCATTTCTCTTTGTCCTGGTTTTTATTCTGGAAGCGGTTTGTTAAAATGACTTCTTTGGATATAGTTTTGCATCAAGGTCTTTTGGCTAGGGGCTGCGGTTGTAACAATTTGCGAGCTAATTTGGGAATGCGATAATTTGTCATTTTTGGTGTTGTCTCTGAAACTTTCTCCTCACTAACGAAACTGATTGATCGTTCAACCACTGGTGCTGGACTTTGCAATGATTCTTCTGCAATAATCGGATTTTCAGCCACTGTAGTGATTGGCACTGCACTTTCAGCGTTTTCAGCAGGCTTTTGTATGGAAAAAAATATACCGATTAATTTTGTTTGAAATCAATGATTGATCACCGTATACAAACATCAGAATACATACCAAATCAAACATATCCGTTTCAATTTGATGGTCAACTTCCATCATTTGATCATCGTTCGATCGTTCGACTACTGGAGCTGGACTTTGCGATGGTTCTCCTGTGATAACCTGGGTTTCAGCAACCGCAGTAGCTTGCATTACACTTTCAGTAGTCCTACATTGCGGCAGATGGCGATTAAAATTGAAAGCTCCTTTGTACGATTTTCCGCAATGTATGCACGTTACTGTTTTTCGAATAATTTTATTCGCTTTCTTCTTTTCTTTGACTTGTTGCACTAAATCACGAAAATCACAATGAAATTAAATATAAAAATATGAAATTTAATTAATTCCTCGAACTTACCCCGCTTGGTATTTTTAACTTTCTTATTGAACTTTTCCATGTCTTCAATCTTCAAATCATTTACTTTGTGTTTGTTTTTCAAATGATTTAATAAACCATACTTCGAATTGAATGCAGAATCACATGTTGGACAGCAATATTTAGGTAAAAAAATTGCATGTTGCATTCTAATGTGGAGATTTAAATTTTTTAGTTCGGAAAACGTGCTGTCACATTTTTCACATTTGAAACTTGTGGTCAATCTTTTTACAATTTTGGATAGATCCACAACTGCCTTTGCAGGTGAATTATAATTCTCACTGTCTCTAAGGAAAAAAATTGAAATTTGTAAATAAAATCAAATGAAAAACTTTACCAATTAAAGTGATGTTCAATAAAATCCTTACTTGCAGTGGCATGTTTTGGATTCATGGAAAACCTCCAACCATTTTTCAGAGCCGAAATTTACTGCCTCTGCGTGATTTAAACCGCAGTTAAAGCCGGAATGGTATGCTTTTGTCATTGATACCACGAATTCCCCAGGATTTTGTATCAGCTTTAGTTGAAATATAGTTTTAAAAAAAAGTTAGAAACATTTTTTTGAAAAAAAAGAAGTCTTACCCTTCCGAACGGTATTTTGCGTTTTTTCAGAACCGTTGGTGGAATCATGGTGGTCTTGTGACCAATGTAATAGTCACAATTCATTTTTTTCGAAAGTGATGTTGCTAATTTTTCTAACTTTCCATTATATTGTGGTGGTACGTGGTACCAAAATTTTGGTGCACCACGATGAAGGTAATTAATTGAATTTAAGTAACCGTCCTCGAGGTGCCAAGCGAACGAGGTCAATGGGCCAGCAGCGTAAAAATTCGAAGATTGGACACCACTCATGACATTCTGTAAAAATTACACATTTGTAAATTTATAGAACAAAATGAATCGGCTATAAGGAAATGCTATTTTTAAACACTATCAGTGACTCATTAAACTTCTCTCAGTGACTCATTAAACCGTAATTATCAAAACCAAATTCTGGCTTGTATCTAATCGGAGTACTTACTTCGTAGTTATGGTGCGGCTGTGCGAAATGAAGATTCGATTCATTCTTTGTCAACTCATCCAGATTCCATACTTGTACATCTCCAAATAGACTGATTTCATTATTGATGGCGTACTTCCGTTCCAAATGCATGTTAGCCCAATGTTGGTCTTCTATCTCTTCAATTGTCAACCCGGAAAGATTTGCTTCCGCGAACATGGCCCATTCTTCGAATTCGGAGTAAGTCATTTGTGTGCTGTCTGTTGATACAGAAAACGCGCCACCCGAAAGATCTTCTCCAACTTGATTTACAACGGTCTTCAGAATATAATCTGGATCAACCAATTTTGAGTGCGCTTGCCATTCTTTTGGTGGAATAACCTAAACAAAATATGTCTCATCATTTCTAGTTAATTTCAAAAATGTTTTGTGACTCATTAAACCGCTAGACTTTGTGATCGCCGAACAAGTCGATGAACAAGTGGATAAATAAGTGACAGAAATTGTAATTCGAACAAAATGATTAATTCACGACTATTTCGATTTATGTGACTATATTTATTACTTACTTTGGCGATATTTATTCCATCATCTTCCAATGTTTTCATGAATTCGCGAAAATTTACGAATTTCTCAATGGGTGGCTGAAGCACCGGTATTTCTATTTCACCAAAAACTTCACTTTCTTTCATTTTTTTAAAATTCCAATTCAAATCAAATGACGGAACCAGAATCCAAGAGATTTTTTAGAGTTTTTATTGTAATTATTGTAGTTATTGTTCAAAATCACAAAACAAAAATTGGAACACTTTATGTTTGATCGAAGCGTTTGTTTTTACGTTTTTACAAGGAACACAGTTTCACGGTTTCACATTGACAGTGCAAACCGGGAAACCATTGACAGATCAAACGATTTGCCCACCAAATCAACATTACACATCAATACGACAGATGTCGCAAAAATATTCAAAGTTGCCTTTTGTATATTTCAATTTAAAAAACGACAAAAAGAAAATAAAATCTATTTTTTTTCTTAATTGATATATAATATTTATTGCGAAAATAAATTGTTGTTTGAATATGAGTTTGTAAATTTATAAAAAATCCACACACTGATTTTTTTTCGATAACATTTTGAAATTGAAAATCAATTAAAAAAAATTGAAGTAAATTTAACGAGATGCACTTTGAATTAAATTGAAATGAATCGATGTGAAATCTTGGAATGGTGAAAAGCAACTGAATCTCAGAAGAAAAATTTGGTTCCAAATAAGTCGTATGCCCAACTATTAAAGACTGAATAATGCTAGTATTGGAAGAGAAGCATATTTTCATCTTTTCTTAGAAAACATAAATATGTGAAAATAAACAATTCTTACCATTTCAATGCGTAAAAATCAGTGACAGAACGTATATCGTTCAAAAAGGTTCATGCTAGGGAAATAAGATTTTTATGGGCATTCAGTTTTCTCTTGTAAATGCAAGTCAACTAAATCTATTGACATATCACCGAAGACAAAAAAAAAATGGTTCATAACCAACGAGCAAATTTACAGTTTTTCAAGTGGCTCTGTTAAAATATTTATACATATGTGACAGAAATATTGTGATGCACCGATGCACTGAGATCGCATTGTATTGCATCATATTTCATGCGAAAGCGAAAGACAGAGAATGAGAAAGGAAAAGAGAACGAAATATGTGACATAAGTGCCAGCCGAAGAATTCGCTGACAACAAAGTACATTCAGATTGACCTGAAATGAATTTATTTGTATTGTATGCAGTTTAATAGCAATTATTTAACTGTGGACTGACGATAAACGCCTGACTCATAAACTGTAATTGATGAAAATCAAACACCGAAACTATGGTTACGTTTCTGTTTTAACAGATTATTTTCATTTATTTAATGTTTCTTTGAACCACGTGAAATCCGAAAACAATTGAGTTTGTTTTTGAGTCGATTTTTCTTTAATTTGATTTCACAA